CTTCCCTCAGCTTAGCTACTCATGTCCCCTTTCTCTTTGGACCGTTTTTTCAGTTCACCTTTAGCGCTCTGCCATTAATGAGACTCACCTCCCACCCAACAGTTTCTGTGTTTCTCATTTCAGATTCCTACATGAGACAGCATAGATTTGGCCTAGCTAAGGTCAGGTGCTTATCACTTGTCCAGTAAGTTAGGGCCAGGGGCCAAGAAAATGACAGCAGAGGGGAGGTCTGGGTGGCATTTGCACACACACTCCAAGATGTCAATGTCATTGCATCCCTTGATTATCCGGTCAGCACACCCTTCTGCCCCCACGTGCAGTGCCATTGCTTCCCCTGCTTACCACGAGCCAACCTTCTCAGACACAACTAGAAATACAAACTTACCATCCCCAGGGGTAGCAAGCCATAATCCCTTGCAACTAATGCACGGAGAGATCTTGTTTACAGGGCCAAGACTCTTGGAATCCACTCTCTCCTGATGATATTTGTTTCTGAGTACAAAACAACTATTTGACAAATGATTAGCTAAATGATAAATTTAACCACCATATAGAAAAAGGAAAGTATCAGGTAGAAATATTAAGTGCATGGTCAATTTTTGTATAATTTAGCAGCAAACATAGAAGTACAAGTGGAGGTTATACACTCAATTATACAAAAGAAGTCTTTAGAAATGTTTCAGGTCTGTAACAAAAATGTTAAAGGAATATGATTGCTTCCTCATAAAAGTTGACTTTTTCTTTCAAAGTCGCTTTCATACCTTCTTTGAAATGAATGTGCTTTAGGGTAGCCTCTCTTGGGAAATACTGGAATTGGGAGTCTAAAGCCATCTTTTTGTCTGGGTTAATAGCTTGCAGAGTCACTAATTTCTTTACTATCTTGTAACCAAATCAACAGAACCTCAACCCTGTGATAGCAGCAGGAAATCTGTGGTTTATTCTAGGCTTCCCCTTAGAAAGAAGGGAGGACTGACCTGACATAGGACACTTTCCCTCCCCGGAAGTGCTGGTAGACTAAGAACTTGAGCTTCCTGTTTACAGGGCTAACCAAACAAGGTGGGAGTGGGATAAGCATTTAATAATGACAGGACATACAAGTTTAGTGAACTTTGTTTTTAACTATAAATGCCTATATACCTGGGAGGATGCTTAATGTTGGCTGTGATACACAGCTGGATGGAATTGTTTTATTGGTTAGCCATAGATATTTGAATATGATACCCTATATTTAATAAGGAAGCAGTTTATTTATATATTTTAATTTTTTTGATA